AATAAATAAAAATTTTATATATTTTTTTTAAAAAAATTAATAATATAAAATTTCTTTTACAGGTATTTCGATTTTGTAGAAGCAAATGTCATTCAGCTTTTAAACATAAACGTAATCCTCGTAAAGTTCGTTGGACAAAAGCTTTTAGAAGAGCGGCAGGCAAAGAAATGGCTATTGTAAGTTTATAAATATGATAATTGTTTTAATATTATATCTTGATGATTTCATTCGTTAACAAAAATTTTTTTTCATATAGGATTCCACATTTGAATTTGAAAAAAGACGTAATGTTCCTGTACGTTATGATAGGGAACTAATGGCTACAACTATAAAAGCTATGAAGAGAATCACAGAAATCAGATCTAAACGTGAGCGTGCATTCTACAAGAATAGGTTGGTTTATTAAAAATTTGATAAATTAATAATTGAGAATGTTTCAAATTATTAACTTTTTTTTTTTGGTTTCATAGAATGGCTGGTAATAAAGAAAAACAGAAAGCTGAAAATATACGTGAAATTCAACGACATATTGAACTTATCGATACACCTACGGATAAAATTAAAGCACAAGTTGCAAAGATTGCGGAAAAAGTACAACAAACCGATATGGAAATTTCATAATTGAATTATTTTTTATTTGTCATTTTAAATGGAATAGAACATTTCCACTTTTGAATTTTCTTGAATTAATTAATGAAAATAAAGAATATAATATTTAGAATGAATGATGTCATGAGATTATTCATTCTTTTATTGGATCTGTAAATTGCTTTACGCATAATTTTTTTGCACTTTTAGAAATTATTTATATAGCCTTGCTAAAGTTTTTTTCTCAGTAACAATTAATCAGTGATCAGTTTTCTTAAATTTTAACTAATTACGTATTACTTCAAAATATTATCAATTCGCGATAATGTCGTGCCTCAGACTAACGCTTGCCTCAATATTCAATCGAGATAGGGTTAGGGCAGGGACACGGGGAAAATGCGATTTTATTTATAGGATTTTGAAAATCCTATAAATAAGATCGCATTTTCCCCGTGT